TTCCCCATGAAGATTTGAAGGTTTATACTGAAACGCAGTTTTTCTAAATCCTGGCGTTGTGTGGTGAGGAGGCTTGTCTCATGTACCTCTGTTCCATGACCCCGGTATTGAGGCCAGGCCCCACCCACTTTGTGGCTCTGGTGTCCTCTAGGACCTTGTATCATCTGCTTTCAGGCAACAAAAATGGAATTAGCTGGGGAGGGGACCACCCACAACTTGAAAGCCATGTCTCAGGAATGGCACGTGTCGCTTTGCTACACCTCACTGCGCGGAAAGCTGAGGAAGGCAGCCTTGTGGGCGCCCAGGAGAGGGAGGGGTCAGAGTTGACCAAGCGATGGCAGCCTGCTGTACCAGGAGGCTGGGCCTCAGTGCCTTGCAAAGGGAGCTTTGAAATCCAGTGAGCCTCCGCAGAGGGGAGAGAAGGAAAGCGCTAAACTTAACTCCCACTGAGGTCCGGGAAACACAAACGCGGCCCGCTTGGTGCTTGTTTGCAGATCCTACCTGGAACCGAAGCTGATGGGACTGTGGGAGCGCTGGTGTCGGCCGCGGAGGGGGCCCCGGCAGAGGAAGCAGAGACAGAGGAGGCGGCTCCTCCTCCTGGGGAAAGAGCAAGTTTAGAGGAGGCCGGGGTTGATCCTGAAACCACAGAGGTCGTAGGCAGTGACAGACCTCAACCAGAAGACACAGAAGCGGCAGCACCACAGGTACGTGTCCTAGTGAAATGGAGGTTCTGGGAAGATGGCGCAGCCGGGATGCTCTATCTGTTGGTTAATGGCGATAACGTAAAGGATGGGAATACAATTGTAGCTTTTTTGTGTCGTACTGCTCTGCCCAAAAACAAACAAATGAAACACTAGATCCTCAGAAAGACTGATCACAGCATTTTTTCAATGTCATATTCCCTGTCAGTTCAGCGTGACTGAGTCATCAGGACCCCTGAAATGGCTCAGGCTGCATCAGGTCACGCAGGCCCCATGGGGCCACCTGCCCCACCGCTTCCTCCTCTCACACCCCCTTCCCCTGCCCTGGACACTCCAACCAGAGTCCTCACTTTCCTGCCTTCTCCCTGGTGACACAGTCTGGCAGAGAGTGGGATGTCACTGCTCAGAACATTCATATTTTTCTCCTTTGTGGCTTGTGAGTTGCTCTTCAATTTATCTGAACATGGATGAGAGATAAAAGAGATTTTTTATTGTTTCTGTTTCTATGTCAGATGTTCACAGGAATTTCCACTTTCCGTTTGCAGTGGGACATGGGCAGTTACCGTTGCAGCCTCCTAAGATGTCAGCTCCCAGAGCAATCGAGAGAGTGTTCATATCTTGCATTATGTCCACTGAAGACTTTGAAAATACCGTTATACACTGGTATCAATCACCACACCAAATTATGGCACACCTGAAATCTATCATCTCAACAGACATCCCAGCTCCAGTTCACTTAGGTGAGAAAAACAGCAAATCTGAGGCAAGAAAAAGTTTTCCAAAGTCTACATCAGTCCTTACCATACACTTCATAGAAAAACGTGGTCAGTGACTAGTGTGCTGATGGGACCCACAGTGTAGAGGTGACAAGATGCCCCAACAAATGACAACTAGTGTTTGCTCACACATTAGGCCCCACCTTGAGCAGCAAGCATTTCTGACCATGGTGTTCCCAAATCTTCATTTGACACCACTTCCTGATGCATTAAGTCTTGCCTGGGAATGAGTAGACACAGGCCCCATTAATCATATCGCCGTGCAGATACTTCCACTAACAGGAATGGCTCAGGCTGAGGGAGGGAAGCATTGTGCACCAGTGCTCCTAGACCGAGCACATACACATTGCCACCGATAATTATCACAAACCTACAGCATCATAACCATTACTTGTCCATTTTATAGATAAAAAATTAAGCTCTGAGAGTTGAAGTGATTTGTCAAAGATAAGAAGTCCATGTGTTTTTTACTGGACCATGAGGCTACCCTAGAAATGTATTCATCACAATTCTATAACAAACAAAATATTTGAGGTAAATTTGAGATGGACCAGTATCTTTTATCTGAGGGAGGAGGAAGATAGTTCCTCACTTCACATTCAGGGCTGTGAGAACAGGACATCATCTGAGAACAGTCCTGATCCCCTGGGGTCATTAGATCAGCCCACCACATTGTGAATGACCCTTGGCTCTGCCTAAGAAACACAAGGGAGAATGGGCGAGCTAAGGAACAGCTAAGGTTCGGTGTGAGACAGATGTCTGTTAGTGTTCTCGATTTGCCTGTATGGACTTCTTCAACCATCATGGTAACCTATGAGGTCTCTTCTCTTATGGCTATAAACCGGCTTGACTCATAAGGTGAGATGTTATGTGTCCCAAGAACTTGTCCAAGTCGCACGGTTGATATAAAGCAAGGTAGGATAAAACCCATGTAATCTAGCCCTATAAGAGGATATAAAAAAGTGCTATGCATGGAGAAAACAAAACTAAACTTGTGAAACATTCCCTGTCACAATTTAATATTTTGTACTGAATGATGTGAGAAGAATTTGAGTGATCAGGAGTCTTCACAGAATATGTAAAATGTCAATAAATTATCAATTTGTTTTCCAAATAACTATCCTTTAATTCACAAATTCTTCTTATGCAGTACATGCTGGTACCACATGAAGAATACGCACATCATCTTGCATCTGTGCCATACACACTCCTTTACTAATTTGATAATTTCTAAGGTTATGATAACATTTTTATCCCCATCGTTTCCTCTTCCAAGGGCCCTGGTTCTAGTTCTCGATTCAGGGAAGCCATGAGAAGAAAGAAAGGAGACTCACAAAAAAAGCTGGCGTAGATCTGCCTGTCAGCCTTTCTCCCCCTACCTCTGATGCACTCAACCTTTTCTGATTACATCCTCTCTGTATAAATGCTGACCATCTTATTCTCTCAGGGTGGAACACAGTTGATTTCCTGAACCTGTATAGGACCTTACTGATTATCTGAACTTTTAATAAAAGCAAGGGGAGAGAGAAAGACATGAGAGAATCCCAAAGAATCTGAGAACACAGGCCCTTTTCAGACAGGAATGCACAGAGAGACAAGCTTGTCAACATAGCACTCCTACCTTTTACACGGTTTTTCATTTAGTACCAAAAAGAGCCTATGGAGCAGTAATGAGGTGTTGACAGCAAAGCACTCTCCTGTGTTCAGAACTTAGGAGAAAATTCTCCAGAAGCCTTTGATATATCAGACTAAATGGTGATTTACAGGGAATAGACACCTGGTTTACAATGCATTCAAAGACTAGGCTATCATGCAACCATCAAAAAAAACATATTTTATGGATTTATTACTAAAATTTAAAAATATTTGCAATTAATATAAAGAAAATTCATGAGTATATAATAACTTTTTGACAATAATATTGTTTGTATTGATAGAATAATAAAATGGGGGGAAGAAGTGTCTAAAACATAAAGAATGATTATTCTTGAGGAAATAGATGGCTTTATTTCTCATATGTACTTTAACTTACTTATTTTCCTAAATGAGCTACTAAGGTTGCATTGTAAAAATATTTAGCAAGGTAATTTTATCTTGTTTGGTAATAATATGATTAATAACTTCGTAACATGATTGAAGACTCATCATATGCCAGGTACTAATATTTGAGTGTTCTGTGCATTATCCTCATACAGTGTGATCATGTAAGCCTCTTAATACCTCTGAAATGTAGATATGTTGGCAAGATGTATATGAGGAAAGTGAGGCACGAGAAGTGTAAGTAACACAACAGAAGTTGGACAGGCTTAAGTGGTCTAGAAATGTGTTTTAATTATGAATTTTGTTACTGAATAACACTCATATAGACTTCAGAGTTTCTCACTATAATACATTAACCAAAAGAAGAGAATATAAGTCCAAATATTCATGTCTCACTTAAAGTGTTTATTTTTATATAATACCAAGAAATCCTATTTCTATTCAAAAATATGTTGAGAAAAATTCAAAGCAAGAGTAAAGTGTGGGTAACTCCTACTGTCATTTTTTTATATCTCATCTTACTCAAATATTCTTTAAAGAAAAGTTACTTCTCTGAATTCTCATATTTCACAGGTCTGGGTTTTTGAATGAGTCACTTCTCTTTGCCACTGTTCTCAATGCTAGATGGAGGTCTTTGTAAGAGCTACCTCACGGGAGTGTTGTAGACAGGATTTAATAAAATAAGTAAACATTTAGAATATTGCCTTACAAATAACAATTTCTCAATGGACATGGCATGCTATATTAATTTGAAAGCTTATTATTACATACTAAATATAACATGGCTTTGGAAATATTTCTGAATGTGGCATAGTGTTCATGAGAGGGTTCCGAGGTCCAGAATGGGAAGCTGAGTCTCCCAGATTGCTCTGTCCCTTCTACCTGCCAGCAACTGCAGTCCAACCCCTTCTAAAAGGCACCCAGAAGTTTGGTTGCCCTGAGTCATAGTCTGTGTGGTGACACATTGATTAATAATAAAAAAAAAATTCTCCAGTGCTTGTGCATATGGTGTCTTCAATAATGTCAATGAGGAATTCCAGTGTTTGATTTTGTTTTGTTGCATTACAGAAAATAAAGTTTAGGTTTCATGCCCAAGTCCTGAATCTGCAGCAAGTCACAGAAAGATAGATATAGGGGCTGAACAAGCAGGTATGTCTTCACATTTCCGACGTAATATTTCTATGGTATTTCCCAGGGAATAGCCGAGTTGGGTGTGACAGCTCTCTGCTCCACCCCAAGATGGACACATTTATCCCAGGATTTTCTTTCGAGATCACAAATACTCTTACCCTGTCTTCCCAGCACTCTGGGGCCACAGGAAGCCCCAGAACTGCTCATGTTTATAGCAGATCATGAAGAACCCCAGGGAACTGTCTGAGCCACCACTTCTGATAAACCAGACCCAGCCCCGCCCTCCTGACACTGGTCTGCTAACAGGGACCTCACTTTCTTACCTTCTCCCTGGGGAGCCAGCCTGGTGTACGGGATGTCGCTACTGGAAGCTGTCCTCTTCTTCTCCTTCTGGGCTTGTGAGTTCCCCTTATCATTTCCTACAAGACAGAAGAAATTCTTTACCGTTAACGTCTTTATGTGTCATTTGTTCATGGGAATTAATTAATTTCTTTATTTTTTGCTTGCAGGTGGCCTTGGACAGTTAAAGTTGGAGCAACCTGAAATGTCAATTTCCAGGACAAGAGGAAAGACTGCCCATATATCTTGTAAGGTGTCTTCTAACACCTTTAGCACAGACTACATACACTGGTACCAGCAGAAACCAGATAAGGGTATAGAACATTTAATATATGTTTACTCAACAACCCCTGCTTATAGGAAAAACAACAAAATTGAGGCAAGAAAAGATCTTCACACTTCCACTTCCACCTTGAAAATAAATTCCTTAGAGAAACAAGATGAGGCCGTGTACTTCTGTGCCTGCTGGACTACCACGCACAACGTTGGAGTTGCCAGGATACCAGTGCAAGAACCACCCTCAGTCTGTGCCCACACACATCCTTCTCAATATGGGCGACCGCAGAGGCTGCACAGCTGGGCGCCCAGCCTGAGCCTCCCTCCCCACAGAACTTGAGTCGTGTACTATTTTTTTTACTACAGAGATTACTCATGACATAAATGATATGTCAGGTTCAAAGAGGAAATCATCAAGTGCCAGGAAACATGCCTGTAATATTACATTTTATGTAACCATCACAACATGTTTGTAATGTAATGATCATTTTTTCCTCTTTACTTTTAATAATTTGAGGTTACAGAGATAAAATTGCTTTCAAACCTGAAACTCCACACTGCTCCAACTGTCAGGCCACCCTGAAGATGTTCAGTGTTTATTTACTCCCTATATTTTGGGGTGGGTGTGGGATGGAGTGCTTGCCCTCTCCTCTGGGTGAGGAACTGTCATTCCACACTGAGGGATGTGTCACAGCCCGACCAGCACACTGCCATTTGCACAGGCCTCAGATCCCCCGGGATCATGAGATGATCATACGACAGGGTGGATACTCATCAGGGTCCCTTTCCCTAGGCTCCTGCAGGGATCCTGGGAGGATCACAGTGCTCATTCACTCAGATCTGCTGCTCTTTCTCAGGCACCATTCTTATACATTGTATATTTGTGACAATCTCTTGACATACTACCATGATTCACTCTTTACAAGTGAGGAAACAGAGGCATAGAGATGTTATTTACTTTGTCTGTGGTCACTGAGATACTGAGTGGGAATGGAGGGCTGGGCTTCTGGCTTCAGTGACTGTCCTTGCAACCAGCACACTACCTGCCTCTGAGACACAGGCAGTAGAAATGGCATCTAGTCTGTAGTTCCCACAGTGAAAGAGGAAAAACTCTCATTCACAAAATAATTACTGAAACAAAGACATTGCTATGCTAAATTGAGTCTAAGTGTTGTCTTCCTAGGTTGATTTGACTTTCAAAATATAAAATAGTAAAATATAATACAAAAACATATTATTTTATTATTTTTTGAGATTATAGAAATAAATGAAAAAGAAACCTTTCCTTTAGGACATTTTGTAATATGATATCTGCCCCTAGCATTCCTGGAACACAGCTAGGCCTGCGCATTTACATAGTGCTTATGGCTGCTTTGGAGCTATAGGAGCAGAGATGGGTATATACAGAAAATGAAGTATATACAGCTGTAAAGTAGAATGAGAGATGCAAAATTAATTTTAATTCTATACACAGTTGACCATTGAACAATATGAGAATTAGGAGCATTTACCCCTACAAAGTAAAATAAAATCTGTAACTCCTGACTCCTCAAAATAAGGAACTTTCATATAAGTTCCTTGTATAAAATGGCATAGAACAATGCATACAGCCATCCCTCTGCATCTGCCGACTCCAAACTACAGGCTGAGTATGCTTTATTTGACCAGCTATTGGTTGACTCCGTGCATGCAAAACCCATGGATATGGAGCAGCAATAGTATTTATTGGAAAAAAAATCTGCGTGTAAGTGGACCCATGCAGTTCAAACCTGTGTTGTTCATGGGTAAACTGTATGGACATTTAACAACTGGAAGTTTAAATTGCAAAAATAATACTATTTATGATAGCAACAACAACCTATAAAATATTTAGAAATGAATGTAACCAAAAATGTAAAGGATTTATATGCTGAAAACTACAAAACTGTGATGACAGAAGTCAAAGAAAAGATAAGTAAATGGACAGGTATACCATGGTCATGGATTGGAAGGCTCAGCCTAGTTAAGACATCAAATTTTCCCCAACTTGATAAGTAGATTTCATATAATAACAATTAAAATCTCAAGAAGACATTTTATAGAAATCAAGATGCTGGTTATAAAATATATATGGGAAGACAAGGCATAGAATAGCCACAAAATTTTGAAAAGATTGAAATCTTAATCATATTCTTAAACTACAATGATCAAGACAGCAGGGTATTGGTGGAAGGATAGATACACAGGTAAGAGCAGCAAGAAAAGGAAAACCCAAATAGGCCCAACACACACGGTTAACTGATCTGTATTGGAGGTGCCGGGGAAATATAAAAATGAACAATGAATAAATTTTTCAACAAAGAGAATTGGAACAATTGTTCATGCATTTGGGAAAAAAAAAAAACCCTCTCAATCCACAATGGACACCATAAACAATAATGACCTAAAAAAGAATTATGGGACTAAATATAAAACTGAAAACAATAAAACTTTGAGCTGAAAGTAGAGAAGAAACTCATTGTGATCATGGGTTAGGTAAATATTTCTAAAGATAGGAAAAACAGAAAACTTAGGACAATTTGCGCATTTATCAAAATTAACATTTCTACTCTTTATAAGACTGAAAGGAACATGAAAATAGAAGCCAAGGATTAAAATAAAATATTCTCAAACACATACAAAAAAAACAAGAATGGTGTGCAAACTACATAAAGAGCTTTCACAACTCAGTTACAAAAAGAATGCAGTTAAAAAATGGAAAGAAGACCAGCATGTGCTCAGAGACATAGAGAGGGGGAAATGACCTTGTACCCTCTTATAACAATATGAAAAGGGACAAATAGAAAATTAATGACTTTGCTTGAATGTGTGGGGCCTGAATTGGGGGTAATTATCTGAAAAACTGGAGACAGACAGTCACCTGCAGGGAGATACAGGAGCTGAGCATTTGTTTACCTCACACAGATGTTGCCAATCTCCAATCAAGCTGGTTGAAGAGTAAAGAAATTTTTAATGAAATGGCAAGAGCTGAGTATAGACCAGTAGGAAAGTGTGAACACTTGGGAAACACAGGTATAGGGTATTTTCCAGTATATGTTAAGCTTTTTCTCCAGGAAGCCCACATGATTCTTACAGAGAACATCAGGAAGAATATACTGAAAGCTCCCCCTATAGTGCTGGCTGCAGGTGGGGGACACAGCTGCAATCCACCCAGACCTCATCCACTCCATCTCCGCTGGAGGAAAGGCAAAAAGACCTGATCTGCAGGGGAAGGCACAGGTGGAATCCCACTGCAGAGGTGGGTGTAGAAACGACGCCACCATCAAAACTTTGCCTGGAACCAAACCATCTCCCCAACTTCACACAGTAACACGTTTTCATCGGCAGAAGGATGGACGTCAAATCCATAGCCTGAAGTGGGTGGGTACCTCCTGCAGTTGGGGGGAAAGAGCAGGGGTCAAAATGTGCTACCTCTGGAAGAGGGGCAGGAACGCTCTTGAAGGCCACAGTCAAGAGCCAGTTTTACTGCACCTGTTTATGACTGAGTCAGAAAATGTCCACTTTCCTTATTTCTCACAAATATAATAACAAAGGTTAAATAAAAATAACTGTGGAATATAGCTAAGGGTGTTTCGAGAGACAAATTTTGTCTGGGAAGCAGAGCAAAGAGAAAACGCAAAGACAAGTAAGAAAACAAAAACAAAATATGACCAGACAAATTTTAAATCTCTGCACCCTAAATACAACAAGCTGCAACCCTGATAACCAAACCAACCTCAAACTCAGTATAATTCCTGACTAGAATACCACAAATCCCCACACTAGAGTCCTAGCAGAAGGAAAGGTGGGCTCATTTCCAAGCATAAAATATATTTTCTTCAGCATCTATTGTACCATACATGTTCACCTTTCAACCAACAATTTCAGAGGCATACAAAAGGCAAGAGGAAAATCAGTCTAAGGACTCAGAACAATCATTAGAGTCAGGCTGACACATGACATAGATGTTGGAACTAACCGACAGGGAATTTGAAATAAGTATGATTAATATGATAATGGCTCTAATGGAAAAGATAACACAGCATGCAATATCAGATAAGTAATTTCAGCATAGAAATGAAAATCATAAAAACAAGGAAATGCAAGAAATAAAAAACACAGTAACAGAAATGCAGAATGCCTCGGAAGGGCTCAACATTAGACTAAGTAAAGACAAGGAAAGACTTTGGTAACATGAGGATAGACCACTAGAAATTCTCCACACTACTATGCAAGGAGATGAGGTAGAGAGAGAGATAAAACAGATAATCACACATCCTAGAAGTACAGAACTATGGACAATATCCAGTTTTCAGACACATTTGTATTTAGAATCACAGAAGCAGAGGAAAGAAAAAATAGAGAAAAATATATTTGAAAAAGTATTAGTTGAGAATGTTCTAGAATTAGTGACAGAAATCATCCCTATTTACAATAACCAAGTTTTGGAAACACCTTAAGAGCTCATCAGTAGATGAGTGAAATAAAAAAAAACCATGGCATATTTACGCCATGGAATACTATGCAGCAGAAAAAAGGGTTTTCTACCTTTTTTGATGGTATGGATGGAACTGGAGACTATTATGCCAAGTGAAATAAGCCAGTTGGTGATAAACAAATATCATATGATCACAGTTATAATAGGGGTCTAATGAAAAAAATAATCTAATGGACAAAGAGAAGCAGAGGATAGAATCATGGAATAGACTGAAAGCATTAAGTGGAGAGGAGGGAGGTGGGAACGATTTCAAAGAGGGTAAAGGGATTAATCCAAAACATATATGAAGGCTTCATGGACATGGGCAATGGTGTGGGGATTGACTATGGGTGTGGGAGTGGGCTGGGTGGAGGGGGGCAAAGGGTGAAAAATTTGGACACCTATAATAGCATAAACGATAATAAAATAAAAAAATTAAAAAGGAAATTAAAGATGAAGTCTTGAATGCAGGCAGAGGAATCAAGAAAATATAGCACACTTCCATCAGAGCCAAGCAAGCAAAGTGACATTGGAGTGAAATCCCTAATCTATTAAAAGAAACCACTGACAACCCTGGCTTTCCAGATGAAGACACCAAAATGAAAATACCTCAGGGTCAACTCTCCTTTACCCGGACACCGAACAGAACAGTGCACGTGAACTGCAAGCTCTCTGGGGCTCCATAGAGA